AACTGGGCTTAACATGGTTGTTATATTCTTCCATATCTTTAATGATCGCATCAGTTTGTTTTACATTGTATTTGTTGGCCCGTTCCCACCAATCATTCGATAATGTGTCGACTTCCAGACACATGTATAATAATCTACTAGCCAAATCTTTATATTTTTCGTGTTCACTTTTAACGTTCATGGCAGAGAGAGAATGGTTTGACACTGTTTCAACACTAATGAAACGTTGTGAAGCGAACTCTTTTAATTTTTCTTCGTTTTCATGCCATTGTTCAAAATCAAAATTTGGGTAAGTCTTCGCCAATAGACCAATTATACGTCCCATCGTCCAATTATCGAATGAATTGTTGTTATACACTAAAAATTATGCAAGAATATATTATTACGTAATGGTGACCATGAAAACACTAGGAAGACACATAAGTTGTTACGTTATTGAGTCCATGAAAAACTATATTTTATTGTCGTATTGCTCAAGTATACACTGTTCGAGCAATGCTCGAATGGTTCTAATCATCTTTGGCGTGCAACGACTTGAACATTACTCAAGCATTCCGAGCATATTTGTACCTGTCCATGTCGTGTTTTGGTCATTAGAGTCCGTACTTTGAGCAAGCCGAGCATGCTCAAAATAACTTCACTAATCCGAAACAAATCTGGAACTCATTCAAACTATTCAAGTCCAGTCAAACACTGTTTTGGACATGTTCGGTTCAACGTGAGTTTAGACTAGGAATGCCAATTTCTAGTTCCGTTCTTAGGAACACAAACCACATCTTGGGTTTTGGATTCCTAGAAGCACAAACTATGCCTGGCTTCGTGTTTCTGAGAACACAAACCACATTCAGAATTTGTGTTCCTAGGAATTCGGAAACCATACCAGTCTGCCACAATAAAGGTGCAAAAGAATATTAACACAGTTCAAAGTGCTCGAAATCGATATAAAGCGTTATAAAATGTGTTCGTGTTCTTCAAGAACACGAATTCTGAGGAACTCAAGCACTGGTACCCCTAATTTAGACTGTCCCGGAAAAGCTAGCAGCTTAAAGGTCAATTTAAAGTATTAAGTCCTAAGTAAAATAATATGCTCTGTCTGAACAAATTAAGAACATCGGTTATTTCAACAACAAAAGAAAATATTTATACTGTACAAAACCTTGTATTTCTTCTTCTTCTTCATCTGCTTTATTGGTTGGAGGAAGATCTGTTCCGGCATCATAGTACTCTTCGTCATTCAAGTCAGATAATTCATTGCAAGATGACGATAAGGATTCAGATATGGGTGGTACTTTGGTGACCTGTGAAACTTGTTTGATGGTTGAAGCAGGTCTAGATGAATTACCGGATGGGACCGATAAACAACGTGGATCGTTTCTAGTATTTATATCATTATCCGAGGTGGAATTGTTAGATAACTCTGCAGATGCGCTTGTTTCTTTTGACTTTGTGTTTGGCATAAATATATTCGAAAGAAATTTAACTGATCGACTAAATTTTGAAGACTGTTTTGGTTTATTTGATGAACATGCAGCCGTGGTGATATTATTATCGCATTGAGCGGAAGATGATGAACCTCGACTATTGCTCCCTGTAGTGCCATATTTTCCTTCTAATGTCGACATTTGCTCGAAGACTAAAACAAGAAATAAATAAACGTGACGTAGGAACATGAAATATTGACCATTCTACGTAGGATATCCTAGGTTAGGATTCGAGTATTTTCTCTCGCGATTCGCAACACGCCCGATTCCAACTAAGATCACACTGGTTCCAAGTAGAACTCGACGAACTGTATCCAACGCACTAGTTTTTTTTCTGACAACAAACAATCCTTTCTGGTGAAAACCCCCTTTTTTCCGCAAAAAAAACAAGAAAAAACAACGTCACGACACCAAAACCACTCGCGATTCGCCCAGAGACCGATTCCAACAAAACCTACACTGGTCCCTAGTAGGGCTGAGCAAGCCCTTTCGATTGCATACGGTGTTCGCTCGATATTTGTAAATGCCTAATGAGAAAATTGCTGCTTATATGTGACTCAGAAATTTTTTTTATCGGATTGTCATGGTTCGAAGAGAAAGAGCGCTAGTGTTCAATGTAATAGTAGTATCGTAATTCAGTACTAGTCAAACATAAGAGGAGGAAAGAAGAAAAATTCCACTGGAGCATATGTTTCCATATATTACAAGGAGAGAACGAAAGAGCTTTGTTTTTAACGTTATCATTGGAATCAGTCACTGAGCGAATCGAGAGAGATTTTCCGGAAAAAAGCGTTGTTCCGGGCCTTGGGGCCGATTTCTCACGGATGGCTGCATCAATTTGTGCTCAAAAGGTATCCATTCGATAGAGCTCGTCGAGATCTACTTGGAACCAGTGTTGGTTTGGTTGGAATCGATCTTCGAACGAATCGCGACAGGTTTTCCGAAAAAAAGTCCCTCATCCTGTCCTTGTTGGCTGATTTCTCAGCGATGGATGCGTCGATTTGAGCTCAGAAGGTGTCCATTCGATAGAGCTTGTCGAAGTCTACTTGGAACCAGTGTTCGTTTTGTTGGAATCGGTCACTGGGCGAATCGCGAGAGGTCTTCAGGAAAAAATTCCCTTTTCCTGACCTTGTTGGCTGATTTCTCAGCGATGGGTGCATCGATTTGAGCTCAAATGGTGTCAATTCGATAGAGCTCATCGAGATCTACTTGGAACCAGTGTTGATTTTGTTGAAATCGGTCCCTGGGCGAATTACGAGTGGTTTTGGTGTCGTGATGTTGTTTTTTCTTGTTTTTTTTGCGGAAAAAAGGGGGTTTTCACCAGAAAGGATTGTTTGTTGTCGGAAAAAAAA